GAAAGAACCATGGATATTAGAGCAACACCAGTACCAGGAAATAGTCACACAAATGACTCTTCAACTAGACTCCTACAGGTACCAAACGGAACTACATATGAATCCAGAACAACTACTCCAGAAGAAACAGAAAGTGTACAATGTAAAATATGCTCTAGAACACTTGGACAACACGAATTTTGGGACTGTCCAAACGCAATATGTAATAAATGCAGAGAGACAGGACATACACACCAAAACTGCCCACACACTTCATTATTAAAAAATGGAAGTTGGTATGTTAATTTAAATGAAAGCAAAGAGTATCAATGTGAATATTGTCTTATGAGAGGACATAAACGATACCAATGCAAAGAATTATCATTGAATAAAGCAAATGAACATAATGGTTGTGGATGTGATCCAAAAGAAGTAACTGCAATGAGAATGAACTATTTAATCAATCCAAACTCTTCAACATCAAAATTAAAGAAGAATCATTGTTGCAATTGTAAAATACCATTTACAAGAAATAATTTAATAGGAATACAAAGAAGAAATAATAGAATTCGATTGGAATGTAAAGAATGTGTATATGAATATGTAAGATACTTTCAACAACATGAACCTCAGAAGAAACAAGTAATGGAATGGCTAGAACACAAAGGAAAGTTAATTGAATGTTACCTTTGTAAAAAGAAAGGAACAAAAAGAGAATTTGCAAATTATGGAAATATATTCTTTTGTACTTGGGAAGAAAAATATGCCTATCAAATATATCTTGACATAGTAGACCCTTGCCATAACTATACTTATGAAAGAAGGGAAGGACATTGGTTCAATACCAGACGGTCAGCAGGAAATTATATAACAATCAATAGATCAATGGTAAAAAGAATCTACGACTATATTGCAGAAGGAGAACCTAATCTACAACAACTAGAACTTCTAAAAGAAGAAAAAAGAGGAGATGAATTCTCTTATCCAGAGACACCAATCCTCTATAATGAAGAAAATAATGATGTCGAAGAAGAAATAGCTTATAACCAAGCTGTTACTGAAAGCTTAAACAACTTGGATAAAGGAAATACAAAGAGACCAGAAACATACGATGAATGGTGTAAAGAAACCTCTAAAGTAGGATGTACTCTTTGTAAAGAATGTCTTTTGCCAATCAATATCAAAGAAGAAAGTAGTTATGTAAATGTATCAAATATGATGGAAAAAGCCATCTATCCATATTGTATTGATTGCTATAACAAAGTATATCATCCGACACAATACTGTACCAAATGCAACCAAAACCCTCTAAGATCAGAAGAAAACCTAGCAAGAGGAATATGTCGAGAATGTTATATCAAGGAAAAAGGAAAAGCTAAGGAAGAACCTCCAAAAGATTACTTCTTCTATGAACTGATAACAACTGAACAAGAAGTATTAAAAGAAATGCTTTACAATTATCCTTTACGATTTGAGCATATAGAAGAAGCACTTTCCAAAGTAGAAATGGAAAACCAAATACTTCGACAACAAGTAGACCAAGAACATCTTATAAACTTAATAAAGTATGAAGGTCTAAAGAAAATGATCCAAAGAATAGTAGGAGTAATCGACGAATCAGTAGACTCCATCAATGAAAGCATTAGTCAAGACAGACATATATATTCATTTGTAAAATACCAATGAGAAGCAAGTGCTATAGTCGAAAGAGCTCGGCAAGAATTAAAAGAATTACAAGAATCTAGACTTCCAACAGAACAACAAGCATTCGAAGAAGCAATGCGAAGAGGACAATCACAAACAAGAAGATCTCCAAGAATTACAGTAACAACTATAATCGAAAATGATGATATGGAAGTAGAAGAAATCTCCCAAGAAGAATTCCAAAAAAAGATTCCTAGCAGAACAAATTCTGCACCACCATTCCTGAGAATAGAAGATGAACTATTCGGAAGAAAATAATTGTACTACAAAAATAGTACTTATATTATTATCTAATTATTATTTATTATTTAAACATATAATTTAACTATATATAGTTTATCAAATATCATTAGTATTAAAATAGTCAAATTATTATTTATTATTTATCAATGTAAACAAAAATGTTTGAGGCACGTAAAATGATAAGTAATCCGTAGCCTGAAATGATGCGTGACAAAATTAATAATCAAATATTTATATCATACTGGATTGTGATTCATGATAAGACAGAACATGTCATATGAGTAATATTTATTTGATGAATAACATCCTTAAAGGGATAGTACGTGATAGCACTATGTGATGGATGGGGCATAGTAGCACCAAGACGCCCAAAGATGGCACAATGATAAGACGTCCAAAGTAGGTGCACAAAGAATAACATTGATAAGACATCTGAGATAGATGCACAAGATTATTACTTGTGAAAGGTATACAAGATTATCAAATGTCATTAGAGTTATGACATACAAAGAATATTAGCATTACAATAACAGAGAGTTATGATGCAAACAAAATTAACAGAACGTTAAGATGCAAATAGCATACAAATATTTATCAAACATTTAATTAGTAATTAGGATAGATATCATTGAGAAATAATATCAATGAAAAATAGATTTTCACATAGCAGAAAATGTCTATTTAAAGACATGGAAATAACCATGAAGCAACATGAATCAACAACAAAAAATAATTGAAATATTACAAAAGAATCATAACAAAATATCTTATTACAAAAGATAGTAACAAGTCTAGAATTTACATTAGAACTTGAAGAAACTGAACAACACCAATCTTACTAAGAAATACTTCAAATATTGATTGAAGAAGAATCAACTTCACAAGAGTTGATAAAAGCAATTAAAGAAATTCAACAAAGTTCTGAAGAAAGATTTGAACAAACTTTAGAATTGGCAAAGAAAATTACACTCAAGAAAGTAGAAATATATAAAGAATCTGCAAAAGAAATTTATGAATCAATCAACACACAGTAAAAAAGAAGCAGATAAACAATTAAAATTCACAGAAATAGTACAAAGAAATAACAAGCAAGCAAAGTACTATGAAGATTTAACACTTAATTTACAAACAATCCTACAAGAAGGAAAAGAAAATCAACAACAGTCATACCAAGACTTAATTGATAAAATATCTGAAAAAGATAAATCAAAGAAAGAACACAAAATACATCTTATAACAGAGATAAAAGAAAGTTCTGAAAATAGGAAAGAACAAATTATAGAATTGGTAAAATACTTCTTTCACCAAGCATCAAAAGTAGATTTCAAAGCAATAAAAGAAATTGATAAACTCTTTGAAAGAAATTAATGAACTCTACCAAGAAAACATTTGAAGAATCAATTGACGAACTAAAAGAAACAGTTTTAGATCAATTAAAGAAAAAAGAATTCTTTGAAGAAAGTATAACATTTGATAGAAATCACTTAATAGCTAAAGAACATACCTGGAGAGAGTGGAACATAATATATATTCGAAACCTAATCAATCAAAGAAGATCAATTAATACTATAACTAAAGAAGACCAATACAACTATTATACTGAAGCTATAAAACTTAAGTGGACTATAGGATATCAAGATACTACAGATCAAATAGTAAGACAAGTCTCAGAAGCAAAGACATATCACGATTGGTCAAAGATAATTAAAGACAAATTAATTGATAATTACGATTATATTCCAACAGAATATAAGAGTAGAAAAATATATTATTACGAACTTATAAGTCTTACACCAACTCTAGTAAAAATATACAATCCAGAAGAAGTGAATAAGCAGAACTTGTAAACACTGTTTAATAGAACAGAAAAACTGTATTAAAAGTCAAGAAATAGGATCCTGTGATAATTGTATAATAACAGGAAGATTCTGTAAGATAGAATTAAAAGAAAGAAGTATAAGAGAAAAAGAAAAACTTCCAAGAAAGAAATCAGAACCAACATACAACAACTGTATAATCTGTAACGAATTTAGAAGAGTAAATTGAGTAGAAAAAATCTGTAAAAGTTGTAAGATAACAATCAATAGAAAAGATACTGAACGAAGAAATCAGGAATTTCTAGAATCAGTAAGATTTCAACAAGAAACAATACAAAATTGTGAACATTGTCTAGAAAGACATAAAGAGTGTATAAAGAAAATAGAAAGACAAATCTTTGATTTGGATGCAATTACAGTACAAGAGTTGTAACAATTGTGCAAGAAGACACCTAAAGTGCCTAAGAGAAAAACCAGAACAAACTTGTAGAAACTGTACTCGAAGAAACGAGAACTGTGAAACTATTTCAAAGAAAAAAGGAAAGACAAGAAATAGAAAAAAACAAATCTTAGAAGGGAAAAGAAAACCTAAGGAAAGAAGATTTGAAAAGTGTAAATTGTGCAGAAGACCACAATTCTTAGATCATGAAAACACTTGTAGAAAGTGTAGGGTAAAGAAAACCCAAGAAGAAGTATTCATAAAAGAAATCTTCAAATTTGAATGAAAAAGAAAAGTTGTCAACCTTGTATAACACTCAAAAGAAAGTGTGAAAAGATACCATATTACAAAAAGTGTATCAACTGTGCAGGAGAAGGATTAACCTGTGCACCAGCAGAAAAACAAGATTATACATCTTTAAGAAAAAGCTGTGATAATTGTCATATCAGAAAAAAGAAGTGTCAAAAATCACTTACAGACAAACAGTGTCACTATTGTAAGAAAAAAGAAAAAGATTGTACTTACAATATCAAAACAAAGAACAGACAATATTATCATATGATAAGAAAATTAAAATTAATGGTAGTATACTGGAATATACTATTAGAAATTAAACAAGCAATTCAAGATTATCAATCTCAAATAATTACAGAAGAAAGCTTAAAAGAAAAGCTTAACGAATATTTAAAAGATTTACCAACAGGAGACTTAAGGCAATTAGTCTGCAACCTTTTCTATATAGTATTAGAAAGAGAATCTGAAAGATTAACGAAAGTAATCCAAGAAATAGACAAACAAATAAAACCAAGAAAATTAGTATCAGAAGTATTTTCAAAGATAGATGAACATAATTGATCAAGCAATATTTGGAACAATAGTAAGACAACTAGAAGCTTTAGCAAAAGCACAAACAGCCTTTGAAGAAATAGAAACATTTACAACATTTCTAACAGAAATAGTTGACAAAGTAGATAATATAAGAGCAAAAGTAGAATTAGGACAATTAGTAACTACTTCAAATCTAAATGATAAAATAATATCAGCAAAACAACAATTTGAAACAAAATTGAAATGAGAATATAACTAAATTAGAGAACAAAGAAGAATACTAGAATCTCTATTATTCTATATATTTACTGTAATAACCTGGGAAGAAGATCCAGACAGAGGACCAAACTTTGAAGACCTGAAACAAGGACTAAACAAAGCCTCAATTGCAATAAAAGAAATTACAGGAAAACTAAACTCAAGTATAATAAGAAGACAAACAAATCAACTATTAGTACTTCTACCAAGTAATACTCAAAATGAGTCAGAAGAAATCTAAAGTATCTAACTTAACTGTTAAAATACAAGAAGAAAATCAAAAACAAATAGAAAAAGAAAGTATAGAAACATGGATTAAAGAAAAGAAAGAAACCAAACAATTTGAAGATATTGCAAGAGAAATGAGTATAAATAGTATCATTGACAAAATAATATATCAAGAATTACAACAAACAGTAGAAAAAAGCTTTAAAAGCATTAAAGCTACAATAATAGTAGCAACAGGAGCAATAGCAGTTGGAAAGACAACTGCATTATTAGAAATTAAAAACTTCTTTGAGAAGCAAGGAATCCAAGTATTCCAATTCAAAGCAATATCAGAAAAATCATCAGAATTATTAAAACTAATGTACTCAGCAAAGCAAAACACATTTGCATTACAAATATTCATATTACAAGAATTCCAAAAGAATTTATTACAATTGAAAATATTGGAATTAGAAGGAGAAATCAATGAGAAAACAATAATACTCTTTGATAGAGCAGTACCAGATACAATAATATTCGAGATGAATAATATTCAAGATGTACAACAAATGGAAATACTAAGAAAAATGAGAAAAGATCTTAGTGAAAACCTGATCAATCAATATGATCATGTATTATTCTTTAAACCAACAATGAAAGAAATGCTTAAATGATTTAATGAAAGAAAGCGAGAATCTGACAAACAAATATCAGAAGAATATCTAGTCAATATATATGACAGATATGAAGAAATGATTGAAATAATATATCCAAATTATATCGAAATCAACAACAATCACAAAGGATTGAATGACATGCTTAGAACAATCTTTATCAAAAGATCAAGAATTAAAAATGAAAATCAATTATACGATGAAACAGCATTAACAGAATTATCCATAATGCTACCAGAAATACTAATAGAATAAGAGCAAGGATATACTGTTGTAATACCATTCATGAAAAGAAATAAAACATATTACATATTAACCTCACAAAGGATAAACACTATGATATACCAAAATCAATATCAAACATGTGGAGGTAAAAAAGAAGAATTCGAAGACTTTAGAACATGTGCAATCAGAGAAGCACAAGAAGAAATCAATTTGAAATTGATAATAGAAAGGATACAATTAATCCTAAAACATACTTATTATTCGCACAATAAGTCAGGGACAAAACCAACAACAAACAAAGATTACCAAGAAGATAGAATTAATCAAGCTAACTTGGTACAAATACCAACATATCTATATTGGGTACAATATAATGAATTAAACCAAATCAAGAATAATGAACCATTGAAACAATCAAATCTTGAATGGCGAGATTATGAACAATGTAAACACTTAGTGTTCACGCCAACATTAACTGATAACATGACAAAAATATTCAAAGAATATATTCCCAAATATGTTGAAGAATACTCCAAAAGAGGAAAGGTGACAAGAGATCCTTATCAAATCAACCAAAAAAGGAAATATCCAAAGAATCAAAGAAATTAATTATTGTCACTACTAAGAAGATGAAGAATATGTACCACCTCCAAAATAATAGAATTCCCTGTACAACTAAAACCAAAGAACACCGCTAAGGGCTCAGTTATACTTTAGCGTGTCCAGTTATTTTGCCGGTGATCTTCTAATCATGTTACTTCATTATATAATCAGGGTATTGTTTGATTATATTGTCTATTGTGTTGTTAAAGTAACCGTAATTGGTAAATGGTCGGATTTTAATAAGTCCATATTCTAGTAATTGTTCGTGCACATATATTGGCCTTTTTACAATGTGATAATTAAATTGTTGTTGTTTTAGCCATGGTAATGTGGTTTCACTTTTCAATCTTTCCGTAGTTGGTGATTTTTCTAAGTATTTGAATATTCTACTTCTTTCAGTTCTAGGGAATATTCTTAAATATTTTGTTTCATTGGCTTTAGTAAGCCTTTTCTTGATTCGTGCTAAAAATTTATAATTTTCATTTAATATTTTCATTTTATTTTCATAGAATTTTTCTAATTGTAGTATTTCTGTTGCTTCTAATAGATCGTTATTGTTTATAGGATATGCATCTATTTCAATTGCCCTATCCAATGTTGTTTGTTCTACATTGTCGTATTCTTTTTTTAAATCGTATTCTTCTTGTGTTAGAGTTAATAAAGTGGTCATCAACAATTCATATGTTGAAATATGTTCAAATATTGTTTCTAAATTCTTTTCTATTTCTGGTACTAGTAAGAATTGTTTTACTTGTCGTTTTGTATAAAAGTCAAAGTGTTCATGTTTTTCTGGTTCTTTGTTTGTAAAATGTTGTCCTTCTAGATATGGATATATAAAAGTAACTATTTCTGATGGAAATCTATGTTTTTCTTCTGTTGGTTCGTATGTTGATCTTGCTACTTCTGAGGCAAATTTTTCTTGTATTTCTAATCCTATTTCTTCGTAAACTTCTCGGATTCCTGTTACTATTTCTTTTCTTCTTCTCGTGCATGTCCTCCTGGTGAATTGTAATATCCATGATATCTTTGGGTAATATTGTTTCGTAATCCTAAGAGGATCATTGGTTCAGGTTTAGTAGTAAATATTATTACAATTACTACTTTAACAGTTCTTTTGATAGTGTTTCCTTTCATTATTCTTTTTCAAAAATTAAGTCGAATTCTTCTAAATTATATTCGTCTTTGAATTTATTTCCATTATAATTTAAGTTTTCTAATTTGTCTTTTGAAATATTTTTTAAGTTATACGTATAAACAAGATAATTCAATTTTCTTTCTTGTAATTGTTTATCTAAATAGTGTTTTGAATATTTTTCAAATTTAGAATCTCTAAGTTTTTTGTCTATTCCTAAGATTTCGTTTTCGATTAATAATTGGGCATAATCGATTTCTTGTTTCTTTTTTATTTCTCTACTTTTTTGTTTACTAAGTTTGTTTATTTGTTCGTCTAATTGTTCTTTTTCCTGTTGGTTTAGCCTTTTTAATTCTTGAATTGCTTTTTTTAAGTCTTCAAGTTTTTGTTTTTCTATTAAAAAGTCTTGTTTTCTGAGTTCAAGAAATTTAGTTCTTTCGTCTTCTATTTGTTTCTTAATTTTTTGTAATATTTTATCAGTTTCTTCTTTTGTTTGTTTCTTAATTTCTTCTTTGATTTGATCTCTTTTGTTTTCTAGTTTGTTTATTAAAAGTCTTTAAGAATTTTGTTTCTTATTTTCTAAACTTTCTTGGGGTGTTAGTGTTTTCAAGAGTTTTTCTTTTTCTTCCGGTGTTAAGAAGAGGTTGTTCCAAAAGTCAATATTGTTGGTCTGATTCATAAAGGTACCAATAAAATGATCCATAATGTTGTAGTCCTTTTGACCAATAAATCTTATTATTGTTTGCTTTTATATTTTGGAAATTTGCTGAATGTATCTCTAAAACTTCTTTTGAATTTTCAAGAGTTTCTTTTCTTGTTGTTGGTTTAAGATTGAATGAATAGAATTCTCCTTTTATGTTCTTTTGTACTTCTCTTGCAAGTTTTTGTAACAGTTGCAATTGTTGTCTTTTGTCGTATGTAGAAGTTGTTAGATTGTAAATTCTTGTTTCTTCAGTTTGTATTTCTTCATATAGGTTTTTAAGTTTTTGAATTACTTCCTCTAATTCTAGGGTGGTTAGATCTTCTGAGTATGTTTCTTCTCCTTCTTCGTATTCTTTTAATAGTTGGTTAAAGAATTCAGTTATTAGATCTGGTGATTTCTCTTGCTGTTTCTTTGAATATTTCAGCTAAGAAATAGGTGATATATCCAATTATTTCGTATGTTGCTTGTTGTTTATTGTTATTTTCTTTTATTTCTGAGATTAAGTCAATGTATCCTGATGGGAAAATTTCTTCTTCAGTTAATTTTGTTATTAAGTTTTGATAGAATAATTGTTGTTCTTTGTCTTTAAGTTTTAATACTATTTGTAGGTTTACTACTATATTCTGATAATATAATGCTTTATCGTATCCTTTTGAAATTATTTCTTCAATCATGAACAATTTTCTATTTGTATTTTGATTTCAGTTTCCTCATCTGAATAGTCGTAGTCGTGATTAGGATATTCTGATTGTCCTGTTCATTGATATTTTCTTAGTCTTGCTCTATAGAATCTTGCAAGGCGTTTATATTGTTTTGCTATTTTATCTTCTTTTTCGTATTTTCTGTGTATATAAATATATTTTTCTGGTTGGAATTTTATTAGTGATAGGTTGCTTATTGCTTGTTGTAATTTTATTAATTCTAAGAATTTTTCGTTTGCAAAAGCATTGGTTAAGTCTAGTCCTTCTTTTTCTTCTAATTTAGATATTTCTTTAAAGCCTATTTCTAAGAATACTTCTATTAATTTATTATAGTATCCGTATATTTCGTTTTCTATTAATACGTCACAGGGTTCTGACAGGTTTTCAATAAAATGTATTGCAAATGGGTCTTTAAGGTCTTGTAATGTTATTTGTTCATATACTACATATTTCTTATTATGATATGTAATAATGTGTTGTTGTTGATTCATTAAAAATCTGTTTGGATTGAAACGTTAATTTTTGCCTGTTGTTTCAAAAGTTCGAATAGTTTTTGAATTAATTCTTCTGGGTCGTCTAGTATTTCGTCTTTGGGTAATGCTCCTTCTATTATAAGATAATCTTCAGGTATTTCCAAGGTTAAGTTAATTGTTCTTATTAGGTATGGTGGTAAAATTCGTCCTAGTCGTAATCTGATATTAAGACTAATATTTGTTATTAATTGTTTGACATTATTAAGTTCTTCTAATGCTTTTGCTCTTTCTGAAAGGTCAGGGTATGATTTTTGTATTAAAGTTTGGTTTTTATAAAAGTTATATGCAAAGGTCTTTGTCAGTTGTAATGCTGCTAAAATGATTCCAATCTTAGGTTCATTAGAAGGTTGGAGTTGATGTTGTTGTCTTTGTGTTAAAAAGATTAATTCGTGTGTAATTTTATTAATGGGTCATTAATGTAATATTTCTTTTTCTCTGTCAATATTTCTTGTTACTATGGTATTTGTTGGATGATTATTATATCTATGGTCTATTTGTAAATATCTATATCTGAATAGAGGTCTACTCATTAAAGGTGTTGTCGAACTAGAGTTATTAGGTTGTCTAATAATGGTATTACAATATCTTTTGTTGAAGGTGGCCAATTGGGTATTTCTTTTTGGCTTTCTTGTAAGTTAGAGTTATTTGGTAGTAATGCTTCAAATAAGTTTTCTATTACTGTTTTAATTGCTTCAGGTGTCTCTTCTGAATCTTTTCTTATTGTAAAGGTTTTGATATTGTTATATATTGTATCGTTGCACCAGTTTATATCTTCTTGTTTTATAAATGTATATTTTAATGCTATAGTCGCTTTGAATTGTACGCAAATGCTAATGATTCCGTATAAGAGTGTTGTATTAGTGGTTATGCAACTAGTTCTTGGTCGATTTCTTTTTCTTTAAGTTCTTCTTTATGTTTTGCTATTAATTGTATTCCTGTGATATCGTCTTCTGGTGTTGGTGCAAATATTTTAATAAGGTTATATTCTTCAGTAATTGTGTAAATATGAGAATATTTCTAATTTTCTTTGATGTATGGGAAATACGTTGTTTCTAATTCTTTGATCAGTTCTTTGAGTTGTTTATGATTTTTGCAGTATTCTATTTTACTAAATATTTTAGCAGTCTCTTCTGTATCTTCGTATGGGTAATCTTTTTCTTTATAGTAAGAAAATGCGCTTATTACTGTGTGTACTACTCCTTGTTCTGTTGACAAAGGTGTATCATCTTGTTCGTTTTCTGTTTTTAGGATTAAGAAATTGGTTATCCACACTTTAAATAAGTGATGTTGTGCAATATAGTGATCTTTCTTGATGATAATATGGTTTTCTTCGGGAATAGTGCTCATTTATTTGAGTCGTAAATCAACTCTTTGAGTTCTTCAATTGTGTTTTGATTATATATTAACAGCGAGAATAAGTGTTGTTTTGATCCTTCAATTAATATTGGTTTTAAGTCAATTGGTTGGTCTTCTATGTGCTGTTCAAAATCTTTTAATAATCCTAGGTTAATATCAATGTGTTGAATAGTGTTTTTGATCTTTTGAGGGCTATATTTGATTGAATATATAAATAGGGGTTTAGTATCTTCAAATAGCTTAGTTAAGTCTCTTTCTTGTGTTTGATTAAGAATGTTATTTTCTAGTATTGTAAAGTAATTTAGGATTATTCCATATTCTCGGTTTGCTTCTAAAAGGATTTGTTGATCTAGAGGAGTTGCTGTCATAAAGTTGAAGAACTTGTTTATTAAGTTGTTAAAGTGTGTTTCTTCATTTGGGATTGTTGTTCTAATGATTTTGATTCTTTGTGTTGCCTAGTGGATCCTTTATGCGGTCCTCTTTTCTTTGATTTCTTTTCAAAAGTACATTTGATGTTTTCTTTTATACAGAAGGTACAGTTTTGTTGTCCAATTGGTATATAGCAATGAGTTTTCTTTATT